GGGCTTCAGCCTGGAGCAAATCATTCAGCCACACATACACACGCCCACACTATCAGACCTAATGTTGAAGAACAAGAAAGCTGTGCAGTGAAGGGAGGGAGTAGGACAAAACCAGACTTCTCTCATTTCGGCCTAATTCATATCATCGACTTAAAGTCAAACAATTTGACTTGCTGTTCATGGGCCATAGCACATGGTTTGTGAAGATGGGAAACCTTAGTGCTGTGGTAAAAATGCTTTGTTTTCTCTCCAAACAGTGCCAGACAGCTCGGAATTGCTGAAAAGGGGCCAGTGCAGCGTGCAGAGTGGCAGTAAGCCAGCAGAATTAGAGTAAGATGCTCAAAATCTGAAACCCCCAAAGGGAAGTTTAAATGATAAATGAGATGCAGCAAGCCCATCATGCATATTGACTAAATAATGTGAATAGTAAGAACGGCTTCTGTTTGTTAGCTTTTTCTCTCTTTTTTTTTTTTTTTTTTTTTTTGTGCATTGACAGATGACTGCCACTGCTATGTGCTCTCCAAAGTGGCACATCCATCATCATTTTTTAAAGTTTCTGCTTTGGTTTTAGACTTTTTGAAGAGCTGCATGGTTGTTATTCTTCTAGTCTCTTTAATAAAAACTCCTTCAAGGATACTAGGAACTGAGTCATCAATATTTAAAACATCAAATGTTAAAAATACTCCAACAACTCTACCATCTGCCACACTGTGGCAATTTGCATGCCCCCCTGTATGTGAAGTCTCATTTCAGGAGGTGTGGAGCTCTTTAAGACCTAGTCAAGTTTATGGATGTATTGTGTACAAATTAGTCATGCTTGTCCTTAAATTATTAGTGAATTAGAGAGTAGGGGAAGCCAGGAGTTCTGGAATCAAATCTGTCAACATTTTTAACCTTTTAGTGGACTATAGTGAAGCCATCTCTGACTGTCTCCTTGGCGAATATGTCTGGAAATCCTATAAAATATTGTAACTTGAAGCTTATTTCAAAAAAATAAATCATCCTATTTAGACTTACAAAAGCATCACTGTTAACACTTCATAGTTTTATAACGTCTGTATTCAGTACATTAAAATTGGTATAAAGATTTCTGGGAGGCCATGAGAAAACAAAGTGAGGCGCAAATCCCTGGAATGTACAAGGGAAAAAAACTTTTTATAATACCATAATCAGGAATGTAAATGTAAAAGATTAATGACTGGCAGACCAAGTCAGACAGAAAATATATTTTTGCATTCAAGATCTGAGAAGAAAGCCTTAAACAGGAAACTTCTGCCCCCGCAGCCATACCTCATTTTATCTCCTCATCTTTTCTAAACTGTCAGAAACTGTCCTTCTGATAAGCACCTTACAATCTCCAAATACACTTGAATGTTAATGTCAAATGAATCTCTGTCTGCTTATAAGGCCATGCTCCATTTACAGAAGATTTTGAAAGCCTGCTAACAAGACTATGGAATTGCTGGTGGGCTCCTTTGAATGTTCAGGATTTAGTTTGGATTGGGCAGGTGCCTTTCATCTGTGCAAGGGTTCCCCAGGAATTCTGCCACTGGGAATGACTGAAGATACATATCCTTTCCGATCACACTCCTTCTCCTGCCAGCTCCACATAACATGAGTTCATGTTGATTCTTTAGCAGCCTGCAACAGGAATTAGTTTGCGGACACCATGCTCTGAAAGAGCTGTATCCTATGACACTTTCAGCTACTAAGCATCGATGAAATACTTTGCAGGAAAAGGCCCAGCTGATGAATGGAAAAAAATAAAACCCAGTTCCTCCTAAATTATCTACCATGAATCATACAAAAATGTTCAAACTGTCACAGTCTACTTTAGCTTTTGATCTTCTTTAAACTGCCAGTAAGAACAAAAAAAACCCTAAATGACAAAAATCAGTAAGTTAACATTCAAAATGTACTAAAACGAAGAGAATTTCTGCTCAAAATCCTCTTCATTAACAATTATTGCATATTTCAGTGCAGAAAAAAAAAAAGTCCTTCAGAAAGCTGAATGCTAATTTTAAAGCAATTAAAAATGCATAGATTTTTAAATTACAAGAAATGGCTCTGTAACATCTTGACTATTTAAACAAAAGCAGATGGTTTACATGACTTTACTGCTTAATTAAACATTTTATATATTCTATAAAATTATATCTGATGGCATTCTTTCCAGTTGCCTTCCTAAATTTAAATTACCAAGTAAATTTATGTGTGCACCATATTAACCAGAAAATTTATTAAAATATTCATATGAAATACCAACCTAGTTTCTATTTTTTAATACATGTGAAAAGTCTAACTGTCCACCTCTTTCTTATTTCTTCTTCATGATAATATTAACATTTTTTCATAATTCTACTGGGTTTCTTTATTTTAAATACTCCTCATTTAAAAGCCAGTATTTTAATTTTCCCTTCCTATCCCCTTTACAAAACCAAAAAATAACAAAACATTAAAAAAAAAAAAATTATTTTATGAAGACCTTAAAATCTTGTTTGGAGTTGAACAAGGTATAGGTATGGATGCTACTATGATAATGATACAACTACTGATGAGTGTGAAAGATGTGAGAGATGATAACAAAGAAGGTTTAAAGAAATTGCTTGAAGCCATGAAAGACAGACAAGTGGGAAAAGGTACGCTGTCCTCAAGTTCCCCAGAGGAAAATAAAATCAGATTACATAGTTCCACAAAGCCAGAATCACATAGTTGGGAAAAAATGAGGGATGCAAAGAAAAGACTGAGTTTTCATAAAATCTTTACCGAGTACAAATTTGATGTGATGATTCCAGCAAAAAGAAGGGTTTCACAATTATTCTCTATAGTTACTGACATGACTTTTTAAAGCTGATTCAAAATAAACATAGTAAAAGGTAGAAATAAACAAAACAACAATATAATGACTGAGCTAGGGGCTTGTTTAACTGTGCAACTATGAAAGACAACCTTAGATTAGAATGAATTTCATTCTGTTCTCATGGCTTATAGTTCAAATTGATGAGAAAAGGTAACATCATTCATTGTGTGCATAAATGGCCCTGCTGGTTACACTTCAGTATGATCCTTACGTATGCAGATGACAAATACCTGTCACAAAGTGAAGAATGAAGTTGCTTTTAAGTGACTCATAAGTCATGTAAAGTCATGAGGGTCACAAGTCATTACGTCTTCCACGTAAACCAGAAGCTCTAGCATTAGGGCATGTTGCACATTTTAAGATACAGCAGATTTTCCTGGTTCTTTCTGGGCATTTTGTTCAGCACTCTGCAGCTCAGAATTCCACAAAACTTTGGGCACCTCACCTGCTCTTCTTGACTCAACACAAGCCCATACCAATGGGCAGGGGAGCAAAACAAAACATTAACAGCTATGCCTTAACTGATGAGATGCAGCAATGTCCCAGCACAGTTCTTGATATATGACCAGTACGGTGTAGAGAGAGATATAATCCTATTTTCCCATCTAGACATGCAGACATGTATTTTGATTAAAAACAGCAATTGCAAAAGAAAAAAGGCATAATTTTGAATAAATCAAAATATCAACGTGAAAAAAAAATGCAGTAATATGATAAAACTAGGATAGTTAACTGTTAAAGTGAACAGAATCCTTAAGACTATAATAGGAGTGTCTGCTTCCCATCTCCTTTAACACTCAAATTGGGCAGTCAAAACTGCTGACAAAAAGAACAGCAGAATAACTCATGGAACTCACTACCATTAGGAATTAAAGAAAATACTTTAGTGAATATTTTTTGTCATACATTATTTAAAAAAAAAATAATTTAAGTTGTTGTTATTATTAAGGTTTTAATCATGACTGAAGATGAAGAAATGTGTATTCTTGTATTCCTCTTTCCCACAATAGGTAGTTCGTTGCCTTCTAGCTGCATGTGAGTTCAGAGAGAGAACTGATTTCGCTTACCTAGGAGTTGCTTATATTCCCCTAAGTGAAGCTTGGGCAGAAGGAACACTTGAAATTTACACTAAACTAACTTAGGACTGACACAATTCATATGCTTTAGCATGCATTCTTCCCTTAATACCTCTGAGATGCTTTATGTATCGCTGTGTGCTAAATGAACCTTTAACAATTGCAAGACAACATCCCCATCCCCTTCCAAGTCACTGAATACGCACATAGAGAGAAATGTGGCAACAAAAAGTCAGTCTTTCTATAAGTCTCATTTAATATAATTCCCAAAATTGAAAAAAAAAAAAAACAACAAAGGAACCATCCACTAACCTACTTTGTCACACAACCATTAGGAAGGAAATATAAATGTTTCAGCAGATATGTTTTTCACCATTAGCTTGACAAATGTTTTGATTTCTCCAAGTTTGTAATAACACAAAAATTATAAACGTATTTCGGAGGTACACTCTACTGGAGGTTAATATTTTTGTCTTTGTTGACTAAACAGTTTGTTTCCCCAAATATTTCACAGTGACAAGGTTTGTTCAGATGAAGCTGAGAAGCAGACACAGAAAGCACGAATCAATTCACTTTCAACACGAGTTTCTCTGTCAGCTTGGCGCCGGCTGAAGTATCTAACGCACCTTTGGCTTTGCCTACATAAACGAGAGTAAGTTCAGAGTAAACCTTAAGACTACTTGACATCATTTCAAACAAAGCAAGCACATGGAGGGGCAAACTGCAAGAAATTCCGGATTATAGACATTGCAACGTAATCCAGAATTATCTCTGAAACAGAAAATTCTTGCAAAGACTTCTTGCAACGTGTATGTGTTTGAGAACCTGCTTTCCAGGCCCTGTTCTTAAAACCAAGAAATGTTTCGTCTCCACAAATAATAACCGGTAGCAAGCTCAACAGTTCTCAGCCATGCTAGAACTTGCAAAGGGCACCCCACCCCCAAGCCGAGTGGGGTATCCCTTCCAGTCCCCTCAGAACCGGGCCCGGGGCTCAGCGCTCCGCCTGCCGCCGGC